AGTTATATCAAATTCTTCATCTTCGTCTTCATCACCATCATCACTGTCTTCTCTTTCTTCTTTCTCACCATCATCATTATTATCATAATCCTTTTTCATTAACACCACCGCCATACTTTCCTCTCCTTTTTCATAATCCTCATATATATATATATTTAAAATAATCTCAGTACTCTTACTATTGCTACTCCTATGACTACAAGTGATAATAGTATTTATTTTTTCGTTTTTTACGTGAAAATCTAAAGAAACTGTCATCAAAATCAGATCAATTACTCAAGTTTGTCATCTTAATGAATTGTTTATGTAAAAAGAATTAAACTGATTTGAGAATTACCAAAACTGCAGTGAAGTAACATTTGTTAAGTGTATATCATCAATGTCCTCAGATATTAGCAAAATAAATATTAGTCAACCCCATATACTAAGATATACTGAGTGTATAAAACCTATTTTATATGTATATGCGCATACATATTAATAGATATAAATGCAAACACAAACGCAAAAGCACACATAAACACACGTAAGATGAAACACACACACACAGACACACACTCAAACACACACACACACACACAGACACACGCTCAAACACACACACACACACATTCATCTATCCATACCTCACTTACACAAACATATACAGACATACAGACGTATAACTCATAGATATATTGACAAACAGGCTAACAGACAAAACAGATAGAATAGATAAACACAAACATTAAACAAACGAACATTAACAAACATACCCACCCACCTAACCACACTGCCTAACATAACTCTACCATACCTATGCTACCACATGCTACATAGTACTGCTACTATTACTACTACTGCATACTACTATTACTATTACTATTACAAATTACAACAACTACTACTGATAGATAATCCTACTACAGTTTATTAATAATACTACTCCTGCTGCATTCTACTGCTACCATTCCTACTACACATTACTAATAATACTTTATACTACATACTGTTACTACTACATACTACTAGTACTACTTCTACATATTACTACAACTGCAACAACTACTACTACTATATACTACATGCTGCTGTTACTTATGTTACTACTATTATATACTACTGCTGCTACTGCTTACTCCTACTACCACTCCTTCAACTACAACAGTATTACAAACTACCACCAGCACACAATCACAAACCACACACAACCACAAACCACACACAACCACAAACCACACACAACCACAGATCCACAAACACACAAACACAACCACACACCAACACAACCACACAACCACAAACCACACACAACCACAAACCACACACAACCACAAACCACAACACAAACCACAAACCACACACAACAAAAACCACACACCAACCACAAACCACACACCAACCACAAACCACACACCAACACACCAAACACACACCAACCACACACCACACACCAACACCAACCACACACAACCACAAACCACACACCAACCACACACACAACCCAAACACACACAACCACAAACCACACACACAACACAACACACACCAACCACAAAACCAACACCAACCACAAACCACACACCAACCACACAAACCACAACCAACCCACACACCACAAACCACAAACCACACACACAACCACAAACACACACAACCACAAACCACACACACCAACCACAAACCACACACACAACCACATACCACACACAACCATCACCACAAACCCCAACATCTGCTCCTCTCACCAACACCTCTCTCTCTCTCTCTCCCCTCCAGCGGTCCGTCACCTGCTGCTCGAGAGGCAACTGCACCAACGCACAGAGAAGAAATACAGTGTCTCCTTCTCGACTTCACAAGCATTCTATTAAGAGAGTCGAGGGTGATATCGACTCAGTCTATGGCTCTGAGACGGAGAGGAAGCTGTCGGGGGAAATGGTGTCCATGAGAGAGTATATTTCGACGAATAAGGTGGGTAAAGGGGAGAGGAGAGGTTCGGTAAGGGGGGAGGAGAGAAGGGGAAGGAGAGGGAGGAAGGGGGAGGAGGGAGAAAGGGGGAAGAGAGGGGAAGGAGAGGAGAGGAGGAGGAGGAGAAGGGGAGGGAGGTGGGGGAGAGGAGGGGGGAGAGGGAGGGAGGGGGAGGGAGAGGTGGTGAGTGGTTCGTTGCGTTGTTGTTGTTGTTGTTGTTGTCGTGTATCAGGTGTTGTTGTTTTTTGTATATGTTGTTTGTGTTAGTTTTTGGTGTTGTTATCGTTACTGTTATTCTCATTATCATCCTCTTTTTCGTTATCATTGTGATGGGGGTTATTATCATCACTATTGTTGTCAATTTTTCTTTTATCATTGTTAGTAGTATTAGTGTTGCTATTATTTTTCATTACTGTTATTATCATCATTATCATCATCAATACTATTATTATTTTCATTAGAATAACAATAATCATTATCATTACAATCGTTATCAATATTATTATCATCATTATTATTACTATTAGTAGTAGTAGTAGTAGTAGTAGTAGTA